AGCCTCGCCCTGGGAAAACCACCTTCGTGATCATGGTGTCTCCCCTGCCAGGTAAGTATACATGAAAATATCTTCAGTGAAATGTCAGTCACAAAAGACCACATATAATTACATTTATGTGAAATGTCCACAGCAGGCAAATGTATGGAGACATAAACAAAACAAAACCCTTACAAACTAAATGAATGGTCTTAGTAAATTTTATCTTAATAAAGCTGTTAGAGATGCCATATCTGGATAAAAGAACATAACTATTACCACAATGAAGTGCAATGAAGGTCTCTTACAGCTAATGGTCTGTTCTGAAATCAGCACCAAGAACGCACACAGTGAACAGGCCTCGAGGCTCAACCTTAATCTAGTGAGTATTTTCCTTCAAACTACAGAATTTCAAGTTCAACCCTACACTGAGTTCCCTAATTCTCCACTACATTACTGAACATGGATTTAACTTTTACCAAAACTCGTATGCTAAAATAAAACAACCCCACCCATATTCCCAGAAATATTAGGTCTTATGTTCTTATTCAAAGAATGTGCCTTTTTAAAATGCTCCAAAATCCTATTACTTATCTCTGTAATTTTAAGATGTTAGATTCATTAATAAGGCAATTATACTTCAAATTTTCAAAAAGTTGTTAATAACAGAAAAACACACCAATTTAACCATTTTTACATGCACAATTCTGTGACATTGATTACATTTTTCAGAGGTGTAACCATTCTTCACCTCCTTTTCTGAGTTGTTCCTCCTTCATTAACATGAACTCCCAGCTGGTCCTCTGTTTCCTATCAAATCTGTTCAGTTGCTGTTGTTCCAGACCTTATTTTATTGCTTAGATGTTAGACTCATACTAAGTACTAAGTTTAGCTTTCATCTTTCCTGAAACAGCAGCATCTAAACATCTAAAGTCTAATAAATGTCTTTAATAATTTTATATATATATATAAAAAAAATGTTGTGCTTTTACTATAATATCTCTCTTAATATAACCAAGAGAGCCAGAAAAAAATTTTGCTTCTAAAACAGTTGACAATAGTAGCTTAGATTTTGTTGGTCTTTTTCCAAGCACAGCATGACATTGTGCTGGGGAACAAGTGGGAGGGTGAGGGTGGGGGATCTTACATAAACACAATGACAAGATCTTTAGGGAACATTTTCTAATCCTACTTAAAACAACTCAAAGGCCACCAGAAAAAAAGGATTACTAGATTTAAAACATTTAAATTTTAAGTCCTTGAAAATAAGCATTATATTCTTAATAGCTTTAACTTTTATTGCAAGAGTAAAATATTGATTGTAGAACATTTTAAAACATGGATTAAAAGTCACTTAAAATTCTACCAGAGAAAATAAGTATTAACACTTTGATATATATCCTTTAAGTAATTCTTCCTATCTATACACACCATTTAATGAAATGGAAAACACATCGTTAATATATAATTTTGTAACTTGCTTTTATACTTAATATTTTTATTCTCTTCAGTATCACTTTTGCTATGTATAGTCTTCTATAACAGTATAATACATAGTTACTACTTCTTTATTATATATTATTACTCTAAATAATGCTGTAATAAACTTTGTGGCTAAGTTAAGTATACCTAAGATAGATAAGTGATATTCTTTTCCCTGTTATCATTCATAGAAGCCAGCACACTAGTTAGGTGCACAGAAATTCCACACTTAATCTGAGATAAGGGACAAGAAAGAAAGGTACAGCACTCCCTCTTATTTGCATATCAAAAAGTGCAGGTCTAACCTCCTAAGGTCTTTTAAAGCTAACAAGTTCACCCGAATTGGGAGAAATTAAATTTGTTGTGCCTGAAAAGAAGATAAAGTTTCTTAAAAGAGCCTCTAGAAGCATACCTTTTGTTGGAACTGAAGAAATGCCAAACCTGTAGAAAGAAAAACACACTAAATTTTAGGAAGGTTTTCACACTCCTGGCTGTCTGTCTCCGTGTCAAGTGTACACATGGCACTCTGCTTGTGATCTCAAGTTTTGCAATCATTAGCTAATTTTAACAACCCCATGAAAGAGGTTCAGTTTTCTCCTCTTCACACAAGTCTACAGAATAAGCTAAAAGGAAACCCTGATCAGATTTAGGGGTAGAAGTCAGCTGCTTGATAACAAAATTCAATCTATAAATACTACATTCAAATCAGATGTGCTCATAGGGCTAAGAATGTGTTTATTTTTTACCAGTAAAGCCTCTATGCTACTTAAAATCAACCAATATCAAACCATCTCAGATACAAAAAGCTGGGGGCACTTACCTAGCTGCTCGGGCAGCTTTCTTACTTTCCAAGCTCACAGGTACATTGAATCGTTCAGCTCGTTTCTGCATTCTCTAAGTGACAATAATTCAATAGGGAAGATTAAAAACCTCAATTTCTGGTTTGCTTATTTTAAGAGAAAAGCTGGTTAGAGTTGGTTTGATCATGAGTAATTTCTTAAGGTTTTAACTGAGAATACTGACAATTCTAAGGGTATCAGACTGTATCTATCCTAAGACTTAACTCAACCACCCTCCCCACAAAGCAAGCATAGAAAGATGACATTACCTTCGCACCCTGAAAAATGAGGAAATAAAATAAAACCTACATCGTACCCAAATCAGAAGTTGTTTTGGTTGACCTTGGAAAAGAGAGCCAAGAAACAACTTGGTTCCAACATAGCCGTTCTGAAAAAAAGCATTATTGTCCTTTGTTGTTCTCAACATGTTCACTGATTCTCTAAGACTACAAAGAGGACAAATGCAGGGCCTCGACGAGAATGCAATTTCGGAGATCTTGAGACAGAATCCAAAAAAAATTCAATCTCAACTGCTAGTGAGTAACAACTGAAGGGTGACATCTTCTCTTATTACTTTTCATTTCTTGTATCCTAGTTCTAGGCTTGTACACATTTTAGCGTGAGGTACCATTAAAACCCTAAGATTGTATTTTAAAAAGAGATTATATTAGCCCAAATATTTTCTTAATGTAGTTTGTGGAGAAATATATCAACACCAAAACCTGACATTAGCTTTCTGCCTATATGGAAAATTTAAAAATTAAATGATGTAAATAGAACAAAATGTAAGAAACACTAAGGTAAGTGTAGAGACTATTCATCTAACAAGAAGCAGAAATATAATAGGAAGCAAATACCTACCTCAGTCTGTGGTACTTCAGAGGTGATTTTTACCACTTTCTTCTCTGCTGCCCTGGAGAAGATACATATTTTTCTAAATTTAAAAAAAAACAACGATTTTCTACACCTAAACCTTAGGGTTAAATAACAATTCACCTAACTCATGTCCTATGCCCCATCTCTCTCCATTAAAAAAAAAAAATCACAGCACAAAGCCCATTAGAGCTTTAGTTCCCTAAACTATCATCTATAAGAAGAGCTCAAATAAGTGCCAAGCTATTTATCTAAGAAAGTATGAAGTTTGATTAAATACATTAGGCTGAAGGGGAATAATGTAATTTCATTTAAAAACTTTGAATTTACTTATAAACTAATGTTTACTCCTCCAAGCATTTAAATTGAATAGCAGCTTTCAATTTTCATCACAACCGTTAATGAGTGCTCTACAGGTCTCAGTTTTTTTCTAACAAATCCCTTATTTCCCCATGGGGCCTGTAGCTCCAGCTGCAACAGTCAAAGTGGGACACATAAAAATGCCAAAGAGGGTGGGAAGAAAAAAGGCCAAGGGGAATTTGACTTAGGAAAACATGGTAAGTTACTGGTCAAAAGGTCTAAGAGAAAACAAAAGGGGGGACCATAGGGGCGGGAGACAAAGTTCGGAAGTACCCAGGATAAATGGAAGGGCATTAACCCTCCACCAAACAACTCCCATAAAACCATGGGTCATAACCAGTCTCATTAAGGTCCCTCATTTAGAGACATGGGCAGCTTTTGTTCCAATATCCCGGACACTTTTCCCATTTGATGCTCTGCAAGGTAGTAATGGTTTAATGACATTTTCAGAGGAAGCAATTCTGGAACAGGAACTTACTCTCTCCCTCCATCCTTTTGTTGCAAGTCCTTGGACTGAAAGACAAGTAATGAGTGCCCCCTGCTGACCAACTAAGTTCTATACTATTTTAACTACTGTGGCTGTGGTGGGGGTGGGGGTGAAGGTAAAATTATCAAGCTAGGAACAGAAGAGTACTTTTGGGAGACTCTCAGGCCAAAGATGATGAAAAGTGACCTCTTTTTAAAGATTCAGAGGAGCTGAAATTAAACCTGGATAATGTGACTTAGTATAATAAACGTCCAAGGTATTCCTATTTCTTGGCCATGCAGCTTCTTCCATCCCTCCCCACCCTGTTCAGGCATAAAAGGATCAAATAAGTTTAATGTCTTACTTGGACGTCCAATGCCATTAAGAGAGCAGTGCTCTGAAACTCCAGGCTAATGCCTAGCTCCACATTCCCATCCTGAAGCACAATCGGTGCACTACACCTCAAGGCAGAAAGGGAACTGCATAGAAGCAGCTCCCTTTTGCTCCATTCCAATTACTTTTAGTCTCAATTAAACTCAAGCGATAAAAACACAGGACTTCTGGGACAGAAGGGGAAATTTCTACTCTTCACAGAGAAATGTTCCTCTACTAGCCACAGTCATATATAAACTCACCAAACTACAGGGGCCCAGAACCTTTCAGATAATATACTTCAATCTCACCATAACTATCCACCCCAAAAGCAAAAATTTTTATGAGCCCCCAATAAAAATCTTTTTATTGGGGGGCTCATACAACTCTTATCACAATCCATACATCAATTGTGTAAAGCGCATTTGTACATTCACTGCCCTCATCATTCTCAAAGCATTTACTCTCCACTTAAGCCTCCGGCATCAGATCCTCATTTTTCCCTTCCCTTCCCTCCCCGCTCCCCCCTCCCTCATGAGCCCTTCATAATTTATAAATTATTATTTTGTCATATCTTGCCCTGTCCGACGTCTCCCATCACCCACTTTTCTGTTGTCCATCCCCCAGGGAGGAGGTCACCTATAGTTCCTTGTAATCGGTTCCCTCTTTCCTACCCACTCTCCCTCTACCCTCCCAGTATCGCCACTCACGCCACTGGTCCTGAAGGGATCATCCGCCCTGAACTCCCTGTGTTTCCAATTCCTATCTGTACCAGTGTACATCCTCTGGTCTAGCCAGACTTGCAAGGTAGAATTCGGATCATGATAGTGGGGGCGGGGAGGAAGCATTTAGGAACTAGAGGAAAGTTGTATTTTTCATCGTTGCTACATCGCACCCTGACTGGCTCATCTCCTCCCCAAGACTCCTCTCCCAAAAGCAAAATTATCCCAACATTTTGATATTCCAACTTTGAATATCCTTGTTTTGAAATTTATTGATAAAATTAAAGCCTTGAAGAAAGAAAAAGAATTATATCCATTTTGTGTGTCCTGTGGCTAACTGAACTAACAATTTCAAACCTCAGTACCTCCAACACACACAGCCAATCTGAAAGTTATTCTCCAAGTCTCCGTTATCAATGCACTCTTCCTATTAATATACATACCTCCTACAGGGAGAAGTTATTAGTCGGCTCTAAAAACCAATCACACTATCCATAATTTATTAAAATATAAAATGTACAACCTCTGTGCGATCGAGCAAATCTACTGCTAGAATTTATCCTGTGGGTGTACTTTCAAACCAAAGCCAATGACGCTGAGTTGATTTTGACTCACAGCAACCCTGTATGAGGTTTCCCAGACACTGTAAAGCTTTACAGTTACTGACAGTTCACCTTTCCCCTCAGAACACCTGACAGGTTCGCATTGCTGACCTTGTAGGTAGCAGCCCGGTTTTTAATCCAAAGGGCCACCAGGGACCCTTGGACATACTTCTAAAATTATAAAAATTGCTAGACAGAGACAGTAATGCATGATTTTATTATAAATGATAAGACTAGATAAATTCTTGTTTACTCTTGTTAACAAGAGACCAACCATCTCACTAAGAATTATTATTACTTCATAACGTTTATGGGAGGCCTGATCGTGTAATGGTTTTACATGTTGCGCTGCAATCTGCATGGTCCGCAGCTCAAAACCAACAGCAACTTCTCAGGAGGAAGATGGAGTTTTCTACTCCCATAAGTAGTTATAGTCTCAGAAACTCACAGGGCAGCTCTATCCTGTCCTATCAGGTTGCTATGAGTTGGCATTGACTCCGTGGCAGTTAACTTTGGTTTTTAAGGTCGATGAGATTATGGGGGGGAAAAGATGTAAAGTGCACATACATGTATATATACACTTAGCATACATAAAACACTGCAGGATATAAAAAAATCTTCTGGGAGGCCAGGAGAAAGTGGGAACAAGAGGTACTGACTTGTCAATTTTTACACTCCTCCTTGTGGTTAGCAGCCCAACTCAGCCTATGATGTCACCAGGGTACTACAGTCTAAAACAGCGATATTTGTGGAAAGAGCCTTAAATACCAGATGTTTACGATTAACTTTGTCAGAATAGTTTATATAAAATGTGAGGCACACTTTCCATTTTATTACTTGATTCCCTTCCTCGATTACACGTCAAAAAAATAAAATAGTGGTGGCTTAAAAAACTGTCCTCTGGCACTGAATCTGCAGCGCCGGGAGAGGGACATATCTGATCAAGCACACAGGAGCAGATGTAGGGGGAAGAGGAGAATGGAGCATTCTGGCCCACCAGGCCTTGAGGACGATGTTCCCAATTAGAGCAGCCAGTCCAGACAGGACCACATGGCCGGCCCCACTATGAGACATGATGTCCCTCACTGACCCATAGCCCAGAGACACGGTGTGGGAATTGCGCCCGATCTGATACTGTCACACCGAGGCAAAACACTAAGGGGGTGCAACAGAACAGCAAGGGAACGGAGCGTCGAGGTCCCCAAGGAATGCTGAAGGTGGACTTTGGGGCCAGGGTGTAGCGCCCCAACAGACTGGACTGGAATACACTCCTAAAGGCCAACAAACAGTCCTTGAATTAACTATAAGCTTTTCTTTCTTGTTGTGTTTTGTTGTATATTGTTGCTTGGTTTTGCTCTGTGTTGTTTTTGTGCATGTTATTATCTCCACAGGTCTGTCTAAATAAGATAGGCTGCATGAACACTCTGGAGGAGAAAACAACAAGACCGACAGTTCCAGGGGGACATGGGAGAGGGGAAGGTGGGGGGAAGGTAGTGGTGTTAACAAACCCAGAAACAAGGGAACAACAAATGATCCAAATCGGTGGTGAGGAGTGTGTAGAAGGCCTGGTAGGGCATGATCAAGGGTAATGTAACCAAGGCCTGGTAGGGCATGATCAAGGGTAATGTAACCAAGAGGAATTACTGAAACCCAAATGAAGGCTGGGCATGATAGTGGGAAAAGAGGAAAGGCAAAGGAAATAGAGGAAAGAGCTAGGAGGCAAAGGGCATTTATAGAGGTCTAAATAAAGGCATGTACATATGAAAACATATTTATATATGAGGATTGATAAATAGATCTATGTGCATATATCTATAGGCTAATATTAAGGTAGCAAGGATATTGGGCCTCCACTCAAGTACTCCCTCAATGCAAGAATACTTTCTTCTATTAAATTGGCATTCTTCCCGACACAACCGCTGAAGACAAAGCAGGTGAACAAGCAAATGCGGTGAAGAAAGCTGATGGTGCCAGGCTATCAAAAGATATAGCATCTGGGGTCTTAAAGGCTTGAAGGTAAACAAGCAGCTATCTAGCTCAGAAGCAACAAAGCCCACATGGAAGAAGCACACCAGCCTGTGCGATCACAAGGTATGGAAGGGATCAGGTATCAGGCATCATCAGAACAAAAGATCTTATCATAGTGAATGAGGTGGGGAGGGCTGAGTGGAGACCCAAAGCCCATTTGTAGGTCACTGGACATCCCCTTACAGAATGGTCTCGGGGAGGAGACGAGCCAGTCAGGGTGCGATGTAGCAACGATGAAACATACAACTTTCCTCTAGTTCCTAAATGTTTCCTCCTCCCCAACTATCATGATCCCAATTCTACCTTACAAATATGGCTAGACGAGAGGATGTACACTGGTAGATAGGAACTGGAAACACAAGGAATCCAGGGCGGATGATCTCTTCAGGACCAGTGGTGTGAGTGGCGATACTGGGAAGGTGGAGGGAGGATGGGTTGGAAAGGGGGAACCGATGACAAGGATCTACATGTGACCTCCTCCCTGGGGGACGGACAACAGAAAAGTGGGTGAAGAGAGACGTCGGACAGGGCAAGATAAGGCAAAATAATAATTTATAAATTATCAAGGGTTCATGAGGAAGGGGGGAGCGCGGAGGGAGGGGAAAAATGAGGAGCTGATGCCAGGGGCTGAGGTGGAGAGCAAATGTTTTGAGAATGATGATGGCAATGAATGTACAAATGTGCTTTACATAATTGATATATGTATGGATTGTGATATAGAGTTGTATGAGCCCCTAATAAAACGATTAAAAAACAAAATAAAACACTGTCCTCCCTTACAAACCTCCTTACAAGTTCTCTGGAGAGCATTTAACTATGGTGGTGCTCCTACCAAAGAGTAATAAGGGTTAGGAAAATGAAACTCATGTCCGAATGTGAAATATCATTAGGTCCTAAGTACTTCCTACATAACTCAGAGACAAATCACTTTGCTTCACTGGGATCATATATTTGAAGTGGATGCCTGAAAATGTATGCATTCATCAGAAAGGAAAAGGTCAAGAGAGTATATGAGGGGAATAGAGTGAAATATTAAATCCAAGGAAACTAGAACTATCGGGCCTGTACCAAGACAAATAAAAATGGGATAGTTACACGTCAACAGTTTTCTCAGGGGGTTCTTCCTCTTTGACAGGCAGCTCTATGGGTTTAGGCTCTTCTTCCTAAAGTCAAAAGAAGCAAGATAGTTATCATAAATCAAGAATAAAAAGTCCATCAACCGACCATTCTAACTCCAACAATCAAACCAGTGTCCCAGAACTCCCACTCCTTTCATTGTGCTCCTCTAATGAGTTGGCAAGGAGCTCTGGTGGTGCTGTCTGGGAAATGTCAGCAGTTCAAACCCACCAATCACTCACAGAGAGAAAGGAGATAAGGCTGTCTGTTCCCATCAAGATTTATGGCTTCAACATATGTACAAATGTGTTTGACACAATGGATAGATGTATGGATTATTATAAGAGATGTATGGATTGTGATAAGAGCTGCTTGAGCTCCACAAAAAAACGATAAAAAAATAAAAAAGATTTACAGCCTCATGGAATCATGGTGTTGACAGAATCAGGTAACAGGCACCAGAAGACCCAAAACAAACAAACAAAAACATATTGTTGAGAACAAGGGGGGTTGGAGCAGAGACCCCAAATCCATCTGTAGACAATAGGACATCTCCTCACAGAAGGGTCACAGGAAGAGACGAGTCAACCAGGGCGCACTATAGCACCCATGAAACACAACACTCCTCTGGTTCTTTGAGGCTTTCGCACACATTCCCACTATCATGACCCCAGTCCTGCCTTTCAGTTCTGGGTAGACCAGAGCATGTACACTGACTGGTACAAGATAAGAGCTCACGACACATGGAATCCAGGTCAGATAAACCCCTCAGGAACAGAAATGGGAGTCACGATACCAGGGGAGTAGGGGATAGGGGGGTGGGGGGTAAGGGGGAGCTGATAGTATGATTGATACATAATCCTACCTCCACCCTCGGGGAGGGTGAACAACTGAAACGTTGGGGAAGGGAGACAGTGGTCGGTGTAAGATATGAAAACAATAAATTATAATTTATCAAAGGGTCAATAAGGGTGGGAGGGAGGGGGAAAAAGAGGAGCTGATACCAAGGGCTCAAAAAGAAAGTAAATATTTAGAAAATGATGGCAATATATGTACAAATATGCTTGATACAACTGATGTATGGAATGTCTTAAGAGCTATAAGAATCCCCCCAAAAAATAATTAAAAAAAAAAAGTTTTACAGCCTCAGAAACTATTATGTAGGGTCACTATGCGTCAGAACTGACTTAATGGCAGTGGGTTTGGTTGAAACAAGTCTGCAACTAACTCCTCTATAATGACTGAGAAGCAACATGGCCAAGGCAGTGTACACTGCCAGGCCAAAAACTGACCCAACTCTCTCCAACTCACCTCCGTTTCATCTCCCAGTACATCTTCTTCATTTGCCTCCTCTTCAGCTAAAGAATATTAAACATTCAGGTCACTGTACTTATGCTAAAATGATAATAATTTGCCTTCTTAAGAGAAAATACAATAATGAAAGCTGTACTTGTGCTAACATAAAATTTGTTCCACCGAAAAGGTAATAACTCTATTTCTACCTTGCATTAATACAAAATTAAATCCCATTAAGTTAAAAACAAAAACACCTGAACATGATGAAGTGAAACTACAAAGTTAATAAAAGATTTTTGGAAGAATTATCATTGAGATTTAATGGTGGCAAAGAATTTCTAAAAACCTAAAGGTTTTTTAAATTAAGGATTTCTATATAATGAAGGACATCATGGACACAGTTAACAGACACATCAGAAAAGATATACTTATGTCTTAAACCAACAAGGGATTAAGTACTAAAATATAAATACTTGTAAATGAAAAGGGGAGTTATGGTCTCAATAGAAAAATGAACAAAAAAGAACCACTTCAAATAGCCATTGACACAGACCTATTTAAAATTGTTTAATGTTAGAGAAATTAAAGTGAAAATAGATTAGCAAAAATTAGGACACCTGAAAGGCTAGTGCCAAATTTAGGTTTATAAAGGAGATACAAGAACCCTCAGGCACTGCTGATGAATGTGTAGATGTATGGCAGTAATTCTGGAAACAATTTGGCAATGCTTAGTAATATGCGGTACACATTTATGACGTCAATGGTTCAAATCCACCTGCCATTCCACAAGAGAAAAATGTAGCTCTACCAAAGATTTAGTTGCAGAAATCCCATATAAGGTCACTATGAGTTGCAATCAACTTTGTGGCAGTGCGGTTTTTTGTTATGCAGTAACTGAATCAATAGACTAGATGATTACACAGCCACGTGCCAGAAGCATACATTAAAAAAAATGCGTAAGTATTTTGTGGAAAAAAAAAAGAAAGAAAATGGAATTAAAGAAAATGAACTCTTTGAAGTCCCCTCATACATACTAAGCACATTAGAATAGTTGCTTAAACCAGAGAGGGAGTATGAAGAGTGGAATAAAAGGGAATAAAAATTAGAGAGGAGATTTGTACACCCTAGAATGAGTATACCTTAAGCATATTTTGCATGTTTTAAAGAGTGAGGATGTGTGAGCTAGAAGGTACCAGAAATAACCTTGCTTTATGGAGTCCAAGGGTCAAGAAAGCAATTTTCTCATTTCATAATCAGGACCAGACATTTGGCTATGTAAGCAGTGGCTGCCCAAAAGAACTTAGTAAACTTCTGGCATAGCAAAAATTAGAACTCAAGCCTTCTAATTCTCAGGCTAATGAAACTTGTATCACCACATTACCTATGTATATACAGATATAGATATACATATACATTTCTTTGTATTATAGTCACTGAGGTAGTATCTTCGCAGATAATTAACTGCTTGTCAGCAACAACCTTGATGAAAATAAGAAAATGTCCACGCGACAAGAGCCCGGAAATTGATCTCTTCATTCACACAACGTCTTGCTTTTACAGAGCACTCACCATGCTCTTCCAGATATGCCTGGAGCCTGTTGATGAGATCTTGTTTTATTCCCTTGGTCTCCAAGCCACGTGCAAGACATTCCTGCTTTAGTTCAGCAAGCTGAAAAACAAGAAGAATTTTTTTCTTAGTTAACAGGATAACCCTGGTGAATAAAAAGTAGTCTCTTAAGAAAAAAAAAAAAAAAGGAAAATTCAGTCCTAAACTATTGCCCATTAATCCCACCAGGCTCAAGCCCAACAATATTCAATATGCAAAAGAGCTTTTATTTTTTCAAAAGAACTTTTCTAACAAATAAAACTAAAATCCTAACCTGTTTGTTTGTGCATGCTATCACATTTTTTTGCTTTTAAAAAAATTCTGAAAATAAACATTTTTTTAATTACCATGTCAGCTAGAATATGGAAAGAACCAATCTTCAAGAAGCAAATCCAATGATCTAAAAGCAAATTCTTCTGGCCACCTATCATAAACCCTTTCTTGCAATCTACCATATACAGGCATACAAATTCAACTACTATAGAATCAGAAAGATGTCTTACCTAGCTTAACACCAACAATGAATTGATTAAAGGATCCCTCAATATGGAAAGAAGATCTAATGGCATGACTGAGTTATTCTGAATGTTTCAAAATCAGAACTTGACTAAACTATAAATACTCTTATCAACTTTGCAATACAATTTGGAGGAAAGAAAATTGTTAATTACTGTGGGAGGGGGGAAAGAATTCTTGAAAACAATGAATCAAAATGAAGATTCAATATAGAAGGAAAACATATAAAGTCTTGTACTTTAATTATACAAAAAAAGGAAAAAAGACAGCATTCTGGCTCAAGAGTAATTCAGATGATAAAGACCGCAGGTTATCAGAGCTGTCTGAGTTATCTAGTAATGCTATCGAAATACAAGTGAATGATTTTAACAAGTGGAAATTTATTTTCTCATAGTTTGGAAGGGGGTAGATGTCAGGAATTGGGGCACGAGCTTTGGGGAAAGTTTTTGTGTGTGTGTGCTTTCTCTAGGCTCTGGAGAAAGTTTCTAGTTCCTTCTGAGTTTCTGCTCCTAGGCAATTCTGCTTGGTAACACTCTTCCCCCAGTTTTGCTTATTTATATAATTTCTTTATATCTCAAAAATAGACTGATTTACATTATAACATAACTAGAGTATGACCACAGAATAGGATTTACAACAAATATTTTAGGGGGACACAATTCAATCTAAAACAAGCACAAAAAGTTAACAGCATGATTTGCAACGAAAGTAATTCTAGGAATGGTTAACTGACAGAATCTTACTGGGCGCTCATCTAAGAACAAGAAGAAAATGGCTCCAGAAAGCCACATGCAGATCAGGGCCCAAACAGCTGTTTGGCCTGAAAGACTGATGTTAACAACTTGGAAGAGGAGGGTGAGAATGGTTCCTCAACTTAAAGATGATAATTAATGCCAAGAAATTATAGTGTATAAATTGTGGAATCAATGTGTGTTCTGTGGTGCATATTCTCCACAGCAAAGAAGATCCTGCTGGTTTTGAAGTACAGATCTAGACAAACCAGAAGAAGTTAGAATACAGATTCAACTAGAAGGACTTTATTATTATTATTTAATCATTTTATTAGGGGCTCATACAACTCTTATCACAATTCATACATACGTCAATTGTGTAAAGCACATTTGTACATTCGTTGCCCTCATCATTCTCAAAACATTTCCTCTCCTCTTAAGCCCCCGGCATTAGGTCCTCATTTTTCCCCTCCCTCCCCGCTCACCCCTCCCTCATGAGCCTTTGATAATTTATAAATTGTTATTTTGTCATATCTTGCCCTGTCCAACGTCTCCCTTCACCCACTTTTCTGTTGTCCGTCCCCCAGGGAGGGGGTCACACGTAGTTCCTTGTAATCGGTTCCCTCTTTCCTACCCACTCTCCCTCTACCCTCCCAGTATCGGCATTCACACCACTGGTCATCCGCCCTGGATTCCCTGGATTTCCAGTTCCTATCGGTACCAGTGTACATCCTCTGGTCTAGCCAGACTTGCAAGGTAGAATTTGTGTCATGATAGCGGGAGCGGGGAGGAAACATTTAGGAACTAGAGGAAAGTTGTATGTTTCATCGTTGCTACATTGCACCCTGACTGGCTCGTCTCCTCCCTGAGACCCCTCTGCAAATGGCCTACTAATTGGCTTTGGGTCTCCACTCTGCACTCCCCCCATCATTCACTATTGTAAGATTTTTCCCCCATCATTCACTATTGTAAGATTTTTTGTTTTGATGATGCCTAATACCTGATCCCTTCGACACCTCGTGATTGCATAAGCTGGTGTGCTTCTTCTATGTGGGCTTTGTTGCTTCTGAGCTTGATGGCCGCTTGTTTACCTTCAAGCTTTTAAGATCCCAGACGCTGTATCTTTTGATAGCCGGGCACCATCAGCTTTCTTCACATTTGCTTATTCACCCGCTTTGTCTTCAGCGGTTGTGTCAGGAAGGTGAGCATCACAGAATGCCAATTTAACAGAAGAAAGTATTCTTGCATTGAGGGTGTACTTGAGTGGAGGCCCAATGTCCTAGAAAGGCTACTACTAAAACAGAATATTCAGCAGCTCTGGCTTTTCAACCAGGGGAGTATCCTCAATAATGAAAAGAAAAAAAAAAAGAAGTGTCTAATGTCACAATGACTGGGGAGGTGGGACAAGTGGTGTGTGGGGCAGTTTTCCTATGCAGAGGTGTGTCCCACTCCACATGCCAATAACAGGCTCTCTACGGAATGTTCGTAACAGGCTCTCTACGGAATGTTCCTAACAGGCTCTCTACGGAATGTTCCGCTACTATTCATAAAGTTTCCAATGGTGACGCCCTCAGAAGTTGACAGCCTGTTCCTTGCTAAGCTGGAATGACAAAGTGGCTGCAACAATGGGCTCAAACGTAACTGGGAGAATGTCGCAGAACTAACTGGGCAGTGTTTGGTCTCATTGTCCATTGGGTCACTAAAAGCCAGCACCGAATGGCATGAAAAAACAACACTGAGAAACATGGGAAACCTGGTAACATAATGATTGACACCTTGGGCTGCTACCTAAAAGGTCAGCAGCTGAACCCACCAGTGGCTCCACAGGATGTTCCTCGCTCTCACGACTCAGTAACATAGAGCTGGTTGGCGAACAGCACCAGCCTTTGGACCATACCTTGTTGTTCGTTCGACTCATAGCGACCCTATATACAACAGAATAAAAGACTGCCATCTTCACCAAGGTTCTTATGGCTGAGCCTACTGTTTTGCAGCCACTTGTCAATCTTGTCAGAGGTCTTTCTCATTTTCGCTGACCCTCAACTTTACCAGTTGAAAATACCAGCTTGGGTTAGGTACACCTTAGCCTTTTAAGTAACATCCTTGCTTGTCAACATTTTAACTGGTTCTTGTGCAGATTTACCCAACGCAGCGCACATTTTGATCTCTTGACTACTCCTCCCATGAGCACTGATTGTGGATCCAAGCAAATTGAAATCCTCAACTTTAATCTTTGCTCCATTTATCATGATGTTACCCACTGGCTCGGCTGTGAGGGTTTGGTCTTCTTCCACTCAGATCTCTTCTCATTCAACACCTCTTAACACTATCATACCCCCTCCCCGGGCAAAGTGGAGCATTAGATAATAATGATTTTTTTTACATAAAACTGTATTATTCTACTTACTGTGTTATAAAATCTCCTATTTTAGGACATGATTTTAAAGGAGAAATAGATGAGTTAACCTTCTTATGATCTGTGAGACAAATATCACCCACCAACATTTTCAGTCTCTTGGGAAGCTGCTGTCCCAGTTGTAGTACAGTAATACAAGGACCTGTATAACTGTGACGGGAGGGGGGGAGGGAAGGGGGGACACGACGACAGACAGACAGACAGACACACACACACACACACACACACACGGAACAGGATGGGGACTGTCCTCATTCTACCAAGCCTCCCATTAAAGTCCCTTTGGGACATATGCAGCTCATAAAATTCTATCAAAATTCACTATTGCTTCAAAAAGTTTCCCCTCATGATTTCAACATGCCTTCTAGTACTGAAAACAAAAAATCCAAACCACAGAGTGATTTGGTCATGGAAAGGTTAAAATACAAAATAGCTCCAAATGACAATTTTATTTTGTGCACATTTTAGCACACTTACATTAGCAGAATGGACCTTTTTAAACCTTAAGAACTTAAAACATTAAATTATCGATTTTTACATGAATTTAAAAATCATCTATTTAACCAAGAAAGTATGTTGAATGAACTGTATGCTATGTGCCTCCTATCCCAACAAAGATGTCTATAAAAAAGCTGATTTATAGAATACCGTATGTACAACACTAGCATTAATGCAAATATATATTTATCCATACATGTACACAGATAAACATTTATCTATCTACTTATGTAAACACACACACATAGAAAACCTATATAACATATACATAAAATGTCTGAATAAGAAATAGCTAATACTAGTTGAAATTGGGAAGAGAAATTTAGCTGGGAACAAGAGTAAGGAGAAAACACTTTACCGAATACTCTTTTGTACCTTTAAACTTGCGTATGAATTACCTATCCAAAAATTATTTTTTTAAATCTTATTTCTCAGGATCAATAACATTCTCCACTCTACCTTTGAACCCAGAAAAAGGACAGCGCAAATGACCATATGATATATTCTGACATTAACTTATTGCACTGTGAACGTTTCTATCCTATTAATAAGGAACTTTTAATTAAAAATTTTATTAGAAATATTTTGCAACTGCTGTCTTTCCATATAGTTTGTAAATTCTCTCAAAGCATAGGTATTTTATATCATCCATAACATCTTATATGGTAGAAACTCAAGTATGTATTTTTCTTTTCTTTGGGTGATGATGGCACAACTTAAAAATATATTTATTATTAAAAAAGAAAAATACATATTGAGATTTAATATATATCAAATTCCACAGTTCAATCATGTCAAGTAGAATTGTACAATCACTACCAGTTTCCAGACATTCTTTATGTACAGACTCCTTTACAGCATCTCCCTTTTGCCATACTACTACCACTGTATTCCCCTCTCCCCTGCATTCTTCCAGTAGTAGTATATGCCAGATAAAGTGATAAGTACTTTGAACGTGTTTTCTCATTGTATCCTTACAACAAACTTGTGTCATTGGTATTATGACACCCTCCCCCTTTTATAAATAATGAAAATTAGTCTTAAAAAGATTCAGTTAGTTTACAATGTTATAACTGGTACATAGAAGAGGTGATATGCCAGCTCAAATGTTTCAAGCTTATAATTTTAACTACTATGATGCTTACAAATATTTTCAAGTCTTTGCTTAAATATAACCTTCTCATTGATGACTTACCTGATCACCCTATTTTAAAATGACAATCCTTCCTACTGTACTTCCCATTTTACTCATCAGAATTTACCACTCCTTTACTTTGCCTTCCCCAGTAAAATACTATTTCTATAAGGGTAAGGATTTCTGTCCGTTCTATTCATTGCTAAATTCCTATCCCTTTGATAGCTGGCACAGGGGAGGTACCCAATAAATATTTAAAAAATAACTCCCAGGGAATCAATTCTGACTCAGTGTGCCCAACAGGACAAAGTAGAACTGCCCCTGTGGGTTTTGGGTTTTTAAAAAAATCATTTTATTGGGGGCTCGTACAACTCTTATCACAATGCATGCATCCATTCATTGTGTCAAGCATATTTGTACATTTGCTGCCGTCATCATTCTCCTAACATTCTCTTTAGCATCAGCTCCTCATTTCCCCCCCTCCTTCTCTCTCGAGCCCTTGATAATTTATAAATTATTATTATTGTTTTCATGTCTTACACTGTTGGATGCCTCCCTTCACCAACTTTTCTGTTTTCTGAGACCTTTAGATCTTAGGGGGGAGTAGAAAGTCTTTTTCTTCCGTGGTACAGGTGGTGGTTTTGAACTGCTGGCCTTGCAACTAGCAAACACATATCCACTGTGCTGAAAGGGTTTCCACAGCACCAGCACGTGGAAAATCTATAGATTTAACTATAGATGTTATTTACCTCGTATATATTAGCTGACTACATTTGGAACTTAAAACTCAAAACTCACTGCCATTCAATCGATGCCAACTCATAGTGACCCTATAAGACAGGGTAGAACTGCCCCTGTGAGTTTCGGGGGCTGTGACCCTTTACAGGGGTAGAAAGCTTCTTTTTGCCCCCATGGAGGAATGAGGGCTTTCCAATTGTTGACCTTCAGGTTAGCAGCACAACTCCTCATACTACACCCCCTGCTTGGGAACAGGAAGAAAGTCATGTTCTACAATGGCTTGTAAGTCAACTTTGTTGTTCTTTTTACTTCTACTTTGACATAATTTCAGAAATAAACACTGCAAAATTGTTGTAAACAAATAAATAACTCACAAAGTTTTACCACTAACTTTCAATTCTTGAAGACCTGCATTCCCAGCTGGCCTCTAGACATCTCAAAGTGGTCGTCCCAAAGCAACTTAAGCCCAATATGAAATTATCTTTTCTCCTGCATATAACTAGCGGGCTTTTCTTTCTCGTCCTACCTAAAATTATCGCTACCCCAATCTTTCAACATCTAATATATAAATTCATACAATTCTACATTCCAAATTATCTTTCCTTTACCTCTCTACAGTTAGTGCCAACCAACCAACCGGCTTGCTTATACTTGTAACATCCTGACAAAACTACTGAAACATAGCAAACGCTTGATCCCCGGTCTCACTTCATGTAATGGTGATCTTCTGCATATAGCACTGCCACCTGGATTAACACCATGGATCAACAGCACTCTCTTATGAGAATGGCTGTGATCACTGCTTTCAGCAAATTACGCTAGTGGTTGAAATTAACGAACATAGCCATTCTGAGAAAATTGAAGGTCACTGTCATTGGAAGGTGATAAACTAAGTTGGAGAGACCGACAGGCATCATCAAAAGATGTTAAGTAGATCCCATCACGCTATACTGCCAGTAGCGTACAGACAGATCTGATCATCCTTTCTGCCAACACAACTGAAGCCAAACTCCTTACACAACCAGATTCTTTTCACGATCATGTTATTTATTTCAGTATCACTCTACTCTACCTTTATATACACCTTCCGAAATACCATCATGTATGTTCTTCATGCTTCTGACAATTCAAATGTTTCACTGTTTTAATACTGACACTACACCTTTCTCGTCTTCTCTTTGATAATCCATTTTATGTTTGACTAAAATCTGTTCCAGTTCAAAGATATCTCATCCACATGCACAGTTCCATCCCTAAGTGTGCTCAAATGACTAGCACTTTCTCTACAGTGTCCATCCAGATAGAAAATAGCTTTCCTTCAAATCTTATTCCTAATTGTGAGGTCCCAAATTTCCTTCATAAAATTTGGAAAGTTAAAAAAGAGACACAGAGAGAGATAACCCTAAGTAAATCTGAAAAGTCAAGTCCACACACTTGACCAAGGTCACCAGTGGAACCAAAGATGAACTGTCCAGGAAGTAAGAATTATGGGCCTCCTCTGGGTTACAACGTAGTTCTTTTGAGGCCCCTCAAATTGCATGCAAAATATGTGAACATGCCTTTATCTAGGTAGAGGGTCCATACCTTTCATCAGTTTCAAGGATATATATGACCTCCAAAAGTTTAAGAAGTGCTCTCGAGAAAAAGCAAAGATAAGCCAACATGATTAAAAGAGTGAGTCCTTTTTAGGCTGATTTGGAATGCCTCATGTTCTCTACTACCTGAAATCAAGCTTAAGGATAGTGTATACAAATGACTCACCCAATCAAGTTCAAATTTAGCATCCATTTGAAACATACATTATTTGATGACAGGAAGAACTCTAAATCAACACAAAATCCATAAAAGCAAGTCATAGGGGCAGCTGATAATTTACTCTAGGAGTTTAAAATATATATCTATGTATATATCTATCTATCTATCTATATATATACTAGATTTTCTATTCTTATTTCCTTTTATTTCATCCTTTCAAAAATCCCTTTTTGCATGTGTGTTATTTTATAATATGTATGCTATGGTAAGCTGTGTAATTTATATGTTAATAAGTATATACATACAAGGAAGGTAGTGGCTCAAAGTTTTACTCATGAAAGTTGTCAAGAGACAACTGATATAATCTACACATTGCATTATCACCAACTTGATAACACACACACTCACACCTTAGCAGTACAAATTGAGAATCCAAGGGTGATAAATGATCAGCTTTCACCAAAAGGTTTGCTGGTGTCCAGTGGTGACTAAAGAAAGAACTTATCCTTTCTCATTAAATTTACTGGTATGATGTTCTTAAAACTAGTGGTCATCAAGTGCTAACGGATCAATTCTGACTCAACCAGCCTGCTTTGTTCATGATAACCAAGATGATGCGATCAATGTGTCTGATGGGAAAGCTACCCGAGAACTCACAAAAGGACAACTTCTCAAGTTGTTCTCAGAGTTACCCTTAAAGAAACCACTCTTTCCTTCCAGGAAAATGATCAACTACATGTGAGAACGCTACCAAGACCTGTAACTTCAAATGGCTAGTTATTCTTGCCAAGGGATGCGAGGTCCACCGGCCACGGGAATGGGACAGAGTAATCCTTAACCTTGAAAAGGTTCTCCCACAGTACTGACGGTTCTCTCTCTAAAGGGGAATGTAGGGCGGTGCAGCCCGGGGGCCCAGGAACCACTAAGACACCTGGAGAATCGTCGAAATCTGAGGTATCTGTGCCTTTACTAACTGTTGCTTAACGCCTCCTGGACCCCGGTAAGTCTCCCAGGTTTTCGGGGGCGTAACCCAACCTGTAAAAAGGAGTGGAAGCATTTTCGGGATCACGTTTCGACCCTAGCCAGACAGAGATACATCTAAGAGCCATTGCCCGCGGATCTCAACCTTGGTCAACAGACGGGACTATCAACCTAGAGCGAAAAGGAGGTCCCGTGTCCGGCGTGGGCGGTAAGAGGGGACCACTGACGTAATGCAGCTCTCTGTAGAACAGGTAGAAGGCACTTACTCGACCGATAGGGAAGAGTAACCGAAGGTACAGCTACGAAAGCCAGGGAATCGAACTAACAAGCACAAATAACAGTAAAGTCGTCAGGAAAACCAGGAAAGTAGGGAAGGCGCAGACAGGGAAAAGGCAGGCACAAAAGAAAAGCCGGCTAACTACGGCGGGAGCCGGAACACAAAACGCAAAAGCCCGCAGTCTGAACACGCAGGCGAAGAAGACCCAAGCCATGCTTCAGATTCCAGACCCCAGAATAAGCCCCTTTCAACCCTATTCCCCTTCACCGAACCTTCAGCTTGTGAAGCTCCACCGTCTCGGCCGCCATCTTGCTTGCTACCCGCTACCCCGCCAGGCCCCGCCCCCCGGCGCTCCCGCCCAGGCGCAAAGAGCGAGCGCCGACCAATAGCCGCCACTCTTACTCTCACCCCACACCATCAGCGCTCCTCATTAGCCAGAAGGCGGCCCGCACGCACGCTCCCGCCAGCAAGCCCCACCCCTCTCGAAAGGTGAGACGGAGTAAAGGGCGGGCTCTGACTCTTCGGAACGACGGAAATGGCGGCCATTTGTGCTTCCCCCTGGCAGGCCACCAACCAATAGGTGGTGGCAGCGCTGTTTCTGTTCCACCAATAGGGAGAGGCCAGTGGGCGGGGGTAGCTGCTTCCTGGAGACTACAGGTGTGGAAGCCTGCGCTAAGCCCTAGCAGGGACTGTCAGGTAGGGGGGACTGGGAGACTGGGAAAGGGTGGCTAAAGAACGAAAAAAGGGGATAGGTGGGAGGTATTACAGACTGGGAGACTGAGTGTTGGAGAGAGCCCCGAGGGAACGCCCTCGAGCGAGAGGGAAGGTGGAAGTATCATGGGGGCGGGTTCATTCAGTTTTGGTTGGAGACCTTAGGTAGCGAGACAATCAAGAGCCACTCCCTACCCTCAGATTTAAAGCTGACGGGAATCGAAAGGGCCACGCTGAGGTGGCCCTAGCCACCGCGGACTCAAGGGAGGGCGGCTTCTCTTTAGGCGTTCCGAAAGCTCAGGGCACGTTCTTGCAGGGCCCACGCTTGGGCGAAGTATCAATAGGGGACTGGCTGTTTGCATGCCAAGAGGAGGACGGGCTGACCCAGAAAAGGACGAAGTAGCTTTACCCAGTCCGAGCGGGTTACACCTTGAGCTGCTGTCAAAACCGCTGCGCAGGGGGAGGCTGCCGATCCCACAGGGGCAGTTCTGCGCAGCCCCTTACGGTGTTCGGTCAGAATTCACCCCATGGCCGTGTTTGGTTTTGATTTACCCCTTCTGCCCTCCTGGTGGTTCCTTTTTAGTGCAAATGACCCGTTCCCCAGGGTTTAGGGAGTATGTAACTTCTACAGGATTCTTTAATGTTACTCATTTAAGTGAGGTATTCCTAACCATTTCTGATGGTCCTGGGAGCGGGTCCAACAGACCTAGACTCATCCCATGCTACCGTAAAGAGTAGCAATGTACCTCTAAATGCAGAATATTCTTCTTATGGTTTACATTTTTCCTTTGTGTATAATGAGTACGTTTTCTCATTCCTGGCAGAGTTCAGGGATTTGGCTATTCAGGACATAGAGGGGTGGGGCGGTGGGGGTACAAGCTCCACTCAAGGTAAAAGGGAATTTAATCCTCTACTGTGATAGGATGAATGTGGGGGTGGCACACAGCGAAGTGAACCCCAACACTCGAGTGATGAACAGCCGTGGCATCTGGCTGGCCTACGTCATCTTGGTAGGACTGCTGCACGTGGTTCTCCTCAGCATTCCCTTCTTCAGCGTGCCTGTTGTCTGGACCCTGACCAACGTCCTCCACAACCTGGTGAGCACTGAGCCAGACCCTGAGACTCACTCCTGGCTTCCGTCAAGAAAAATTAAATTAGGACTTCTTTGGGGGGGTCTTCCTTTTGGGATGGTCTGATTCCTCCCTTGTACACTCCTTGGGCTGAATTCCTATCTCACATGTCTGCCCTTTCATAATGCCCTTCCCTCCTCCCAGGCTATGTATGTCTTCCTACATACAGTGAAAGGGACGCCCTTTGAGACCCCCGACCAAGGGAAAGCCCGGCTACTGACACACTGGGAGCAGATGGACTATGGCCTCCAGTTTACTTCTTCTCGCAAGTTCCTCAGCATCTCTCCTATTGTACTGTAAGTTTAGGGGGGAATGGGAGATGCTGGGTAGGAACGCATTCCAAGAGCCAGGTATAAAGGCCCACAGGGACGTTTTAAAAAAAGAGAGGGCTAGTCATCTAAGCCCCTCTGACGATACTGTAGTATTCTAGTTCAAAACCTAGGGAAAATATTAATAAAGTCACAAAAGATAATCAACCATTTCTTGCTCCCTCCCTTTGTAGTAGGGGAATGGAAAAGATGCAAACAAGGTAAAATGTTTTCACACTTCTAAAGAGGAGAATGTAAATCTATGAAAACTGACTGTGGGGAGTGGAAGCCCCTACAGGCTGGAATCGCCTCATTCATCAATTGCCATGAGTCCCTAATAATTTTAAGAAACACGGAGGCTGACAATCTCCATTTTAAAGTCCTCATCTTACGGTCTTCCATCCCCAGATTAAATACTGCCCATCTATGCTGGAGTGTTTCAGATGTCCTAGGACTACATGTAGTGGTCATTTAAGACAACAGAAGTCACTGGCAAGTTTTGAATATGGATAAGGGAAAGCACACCTCACTCGTCCTCTCTCTTCTCCCTAGCTACCTCCTGGCCAGCTTCTATACCAAGTATGATGCTGCTCACTTTCTCATCAACACAGCCTCGCTGCTCAGCGTACTACTGCCAAAATTGCCCCAGTTCCACGGGGTTCGTCTTTTCGGGATCAACAAGTACTGAGGGATGGTGCAGGGAAAAGCACTATAGGTGTGAGGAAGACATTGGGACAAAGGCTCCTTCTTTATGCTATCTTCTATCTCCTGAATGCCTAACAAAAACTATAAACCTTTCCGCACACTTCCAGGAAGATATTGGCAACTGGGGCTCCTTGAACCACCCAGTCATGCCAGGGGCCGATTTCTTTGAATCAGGAAAAGCAGGTGAGGTAAAGGCCACGTCTCTTCTCCACAGTGGGAAACCATGTTTTGGGGCAGCTTGTTTGGTGATTACCTTTACCCATACTTTCCACTCCCACCACCTCCCAGCTATATTTGATTGTCTGTCTTCCTTATAATAAAGATACTTTTTTCAGACATGGCTACAATTGGGTGAGCACAGAAAGTAGGAAGATGTCCTAAGACTATGGAAGAAACAAAAATATTTCACTCACTATATAAAACTTGGACGAGCACTGTACTGCTAACCACAGGGGGGTGGCGGGTGTGCAAGCCTGTCAGCCACTCCGTGAAGCAAGTGGAAGCTATGCCCTCTGGTAAAGAGCTACAGCCACAGGCATACGATTAGTGGGCTGCCAAAGCAGATACCCAACACTTTATCCTGGATTATGGGCCACAGCACACAAGATTCTGGTTATTGTTTTTCTGAAAAGGGGGCAGTAGGCCAAGGACGTTTGGGAACCTCTGCTCCATAGGGTTGCTATGAGTGCGAATCTGCTTGGTGGTGAGTTTGACTCTTGGGTTTACCAAACTGATTTTTTAACCTAGCTCCTTTAGTCCAGTAGGGGGTGCCCTTCACTCTCAGCTACTACAGTATGAAAAGGCTTCTCAAATGAGGAAGAGTTACAGCTAAATGGCCAAATAAGAGAGGGAGCAGGTTGCCAGTTATATATTTATAGAAAGATAATCCCCTGGCTTTAAATAGATATGTACATACAAATATGAACAAACTTAAAAAAATACAAACCCTTGGGTTACAAGGGGGCTGTTGAGAATCCCCCCTCAGCCTTCCCCCTCAACCAAGGGCCGAGAGTGTAAGTCTACTTTTAAAAAAATTATTGATTTTGGCCATCCCTGCAGCAACAAGCCTGAACTTGGGTGCTTACCCACAAGGGTGAAAGTCAGAAAATGAAAGAATTCAAAGTTCCCACTCTGAACTCTGCACCTCCTACAATTAGGGCTGTATGCTTTCTTTTAACCAGCGTACAGGGAGCAAGGAGGAGGGCCTCTTCCTGACATGGGTCAAGAAATAAGATAGACTCATAGTTCTAAAAGTGGGGAGAAAACGTGTCATCTGCTCTAAAAGCAAAAGACAAGACAAAGGCATACAGACCCCAGGGAAACACCCAGTCCCACACCACTGGGATCTACTGTCCGGTCCAAGGGCTGGGTTCCTTGTTCGAGCCGCCTCCTATTTCTTTGGTATTGTCTGAAGACAAGAGTCAGTTCCTGGGTACTGGGGGAGAAGGGAGAATGGTTCCTACACGTACTCAGTGAACAGTTTGAGCTTAAAGTTTTCCCTTTTTTAAATATTTAAAAACAAACAAAGCAAACTCCATCCTGTGCTGTACACAGCCCTTTGGACTCCCTGACATTGATTGAGGAAAGCAGAGAAGGGTGTCAGCGTTGGAAGGGCCTTCTCACTTTCTTCCGCCGCTTCGGTTTGGCTTCCCCCTTGGGTACTGTGCTGTTGGGCTTGGAGCCTGTGGTGGTCCCAGGGCCAGGCTGAGGGGATGCAAAGAAGTTCCCTTTCGACATCTGGCCAGGTGGTACTTGAAAGATTCTGCTTAAGAAATCCTGAAGATCAGCAGGTGGGGTATCTGGGGTGGCTCTAAGAAGAAAATGGAAGAGATGAAGAAATAAATGAGAGGCGAGGTTACCAGAGACACAGTTATCTAAGTTAGAGAGTTATTCCCCAAACTTCCTAGAGGATGAAACAACATTGTTAGCTCCCAACATGTTGGGCACCTGACTCAGGGCAACCCATTTGCTACAGAGAGGAGCTGCTCCACAGGGTTTTCTTGGTTTACTCTTGACAGAAGCGGACCACCTGCCCTTTGTTCCACAGAGCCGCTGGGTAGGTTGGAACCACTAACCTTTTGGTTAGCAGCTGATCAAAAGCCACTTGTGTCCTTAGGTGTTTTAAATAACCCCTCCAAAGCCATATTCAAGACTAGAATCACGGATAGATTACTAAGGGTAAATATTACCTACCTCTGCCTCCCACTGGTGCCTGGGATCCGAGAACCAAATGAGATGTGATAGGGGACTCTGTGGGTATCTGGGGAAATTCCCACACGTTGGCATCCAGCCCACTCTGTAAACATGAGAAATAATTAACCAAAACATCACAGCTTCGAGCACAAATGAGATCAGGAAGTATGGGTTCGTGCTTCCGCAGGGCAGACTGTACCTGTGATGTCATACACCTTTCCATCCATGAGTGCAAAGTAAGTAATCTTGAGGCCTAGCATGCTTGACTCTGCCCAAAAGTCTCCTTCCTCAGCAGGATGCAACCTATTGCACTCGGCACAGTATCGGGCACTCTTGGGCTCCCGGTCCATTTCAAACCTTCTGCAATCCAACAAAAGGAGAATTCCTCATGCATCATGCCTTCCTAGGGTACATTGCTGTCTCATCATTGCTGACATATTTGCTCCATGTCTGACGTTACCTCCATTTGTTTTATATACATACATACATACATGCATCCATACATATTCAGACAGCTTTTCTTAACTGCGAATTCAAATCTCCCATCTCTTACAGCTTAGCAAAGGTAGAAACCTCAGGACCTTTATTATCCTGTATCCCAAAACTGCCAATAATATTCATAGGAAAGGTCTTTGGCTACCCAACGACTTAGGTTTGACATCCGTCCCTGACCTCTTTCATACCTATGCTTTCCCTGACATCGGCTGCACATCATAGTATTCATTGCCTCCTTGAGATCATCCTGCAGCTTGGACAGAAATTCATTCACTGATCGGCTCAGCTCATTCTCTGCCATTCGTTTCCTGAGAAAAGAGAGGCTTTGTAAATCAGAAGGTATTGATGGAGGGACAAGGGACAGATCCACTGGCCTCTTGAAGGTTCCAGCCACTGACAAGGATAGGCCGTCTCGGTTCTCTCGCCTCAAGAGCGTCCAGCGACAGGGCCAGGCCTCCACTATCAAGGATTTTTGTTGACCCCACCTGACAATTTCCCAGCTCCAACTTACATCTCATATTCCTTCCGCCTTTCAGGGTTGCTGACAATGTCCCAGGCTGCCCGTAAAACCTTGAAGGCCTCCTCAGCCTGGGGGTGATGATTTTTGTCAGGATGCACCTATCAAGCAAATAACAGATTTCAGCACAAACCCACTCTAGCCCTCCAGGGTCAAAACGCTCTCACCTCAGAAGGTTCTTCCACCTCCCTCGTGGAGATACAACGTAATGATTACTAACTCGATTCTACAGACACGTGTAGACTCAAGTTCCAAATGTCAATCATAACTACACGCTTCAACATTTAACTGAGACTCAAGTTTCATCACTGTTTGTTTGTTTGTAATCACTTTACTGGGGGCACGTACAACTCAACCAATCCATACATCCATCCATTGTGTCAAGCACATTTGTACATTGGTTGCCATCATCATTCTCAAAACATTTTCCTACTACTTGAGCCCTTGGTATCAGTTCATTCCCCCACCACCACCACCATCCCTCCCTCACAAACCCTTGATAATTGATAAATTACTATTTTTTCATGTCTCATACTGTTTGATGTCTCCCTTCACCCAACTTTCTGTTGTCTGTACCCCAGGAAGGGGTTATATGTAGATCATTGTGAACAGTTCCCCTTTCTCCCCCACCTCCCCCTTACCCTCCTGGTTCTTCACTGTTAAAAGGAATGAAAATCTACCATGGATTGCTGAGAGTATTGAGAATGCATATGAAGTATATGGCACAGAACTGGCACTAGGGTGATCTGCCATCTCAGTTTCCCTGGGACCATCCTAGTTTAACTACTGTACACCCCATTTTGCAAGCAAAGGGGACAGTAGTCACCCTACCAGGCACACATGATACCAAGCCCTCCCATTTTAATTTTATCAATCCTTTAAGGATTCTAAAGATGTTAAATCTTCTAACTTATTAGTTTCTAACAAAATTCTCCTGTCTACTCAATACTTCCTATTATAGTCCAGTATTTCTTAGCTGTCCCAGAATGAAGTAGCATATCAAGATGTCCAAAGGTTTTCACACACTCTATAGTGTTTTTTCCTCCAAGACAATCACCCTACAGCTTCCCATCGCTCTATGTCCATGCCCCCCAAACAGAGAGAAAGCTCGCCTCCTGACTGATGCCAAAGAAAGTCCTAATGGAGGAGCCTTCTCATGGGCAATCTAGGCCAAACGAGAACCTTGGACTGTGAGGTCAGATGTTAAGAATGGAGGGATCTAGCGATATTCTCACCCCAAGAGAAGTGGAAAAATGATTATATTTCTAACAGTGCTATTCTCCAAGAGAGGATGTATGCTAAAAAGATAGGAAGGTGAGAAAAAAACCTCAACTATTAGTAAAAATTCCACCAATCACCTGTGGGTTTGTCATACTCTAGAGCAGGGGTGTCAAATTCAATTAAAACGCAAGCCATTTGGTGCAACAGGCAAGATTCATGCGGGCCACATCACATTTACAAACTTTGTTAAACTTACATTTTGAAGGGAGGATTCAGGAATATGGATAGGATAATTAAAACACTATATAATTGCTTTTATTTAAACATTTATTTTATTGAATGCATTTATAAAATTGAAATGATTCATTTTTACCCAAAACTTGCCAGCTCTTTCCCACTAGTTTTCACTTCCCTCTTACGCTGTGACCGGAAAACATAACAAAGTAACTGATAAAAAACACAAAATGTTGGACAGCTGACAAACGTGATGCACAATGGTAATGGCTTCCCTCTAAAAATGTTAACTAGCGCTGCCGCTAGGTATGATTCATCACAGCACAACCCGGTGTGCTCTTTTTAACCTTCTCACTATTGGGATTTGTTTACATGACGTGACACCCAAGATCTACCTTGGGGTGCAGTGCTGTATGTAACAGGGCAATGTGCTGAAGTGAAATTTGTTCTTGTTAATGCACGCAGATTAGTCACCAGGCTAGATTAGGTCACTAAAGGTCTGTGTTGTCTTAATTGATGTTCTTGATCTTTCAAAAAAATAATAAAACCAAACTCACTGCCATCAAGTCAATGCTAACTCCTAGTAACCCCCTGTGGGTTTCTGAGTGAAATTTCTTAATATGGCTCTGTGATCCATGTCTCTGAACTTCTCACCAAATGACTGGATTGGGACT